GGGAAGGAAGGGAAGGAACCAGAGGGCCCCTCCGGGGAGCTAGCCCGCACCCCCTCCGAGGCCTCCACCTGTGCCAGCCCCACCAGGTGCTCCCTTAGGCCACGGCAGGCGCCCTCACCTGCCATTTCCAGGAGGAGCCACAATGACACCCCGGAACAAGGTAATGCCTATGATGGCAAAGACGTAGTATACCACCTGGGGAGGCGGGGCCGCGGTCAGCACCTCGCAGGCACGGCACAGAGCCCGGCTGGCCTGTGAGGGCTCCCAGCCCTGGCCACGGTCCCCAACCATGGACGCCGCCAGCCTCCCACGGGAGACGCTAGGGCTCTGCTCCCAGGCACCCCCTCCTATGTGCCACCATGCCCCAAAGGAAGAAGACAGGATGGGGCTGCAGGAAAGGAGGGAGGAGCCACCACCAGAGGAGCATCGGAAATGAACTGGGGCCCCGGGCGAAGGCCGAGGAAGCCGAGGCGTGTGCCCCTCCCCCAGGACAGGTGCGGCACAGAGAGGGCTGAGGACTCCACCGACAACAGGGCCAGGGGGCCAGAAGGTGGTCCAGGGAGGAGGCGGCCCCAGGGAAGGGTGGGAAGTGGCCAGGCCTCTCCAGAGGGAAGTCCCACCATGCTCCCCACGTGCACCAGGGGGGCGTCTGGGGAGCATCACAGGGCAGCCTCCCTGACCAGTGCCCTCCCGTCCAGAATGTGGCCAGGGCGGGGCACACCCTGGGCTAACCTAGCCCCCTCTGGGCCTCGGATTCCTCCCATGTGCAAACAAGAGTGGAGGGAGGGGAGGGTCCAATGCAAGCTTCTGCTTGTAGCATCCTGTGACAAGTCCAGAGCACCTCAGGGCTCCCCTCCCAGGTGGCTCCCTACCCCCCATGGTGTTTAAAACAAAGGACAAAAAAGCCAAGAGCAGCAGCATCTACACAGCAGGGCTCCCCGCAGCTCATCATCACTGTCACCATCTCTCCTGTCCACTGGGACTCATGCCTGGAGCAGCACCAGGGTCCCGCATGCTCAGGGGCCCCTGCCTGGGCTGGGACATGGGGCAGAGCCAGCAGCACCCCAGGGGAAGGCTGGCCCGGGAGGGAGGGCGGGGTGCATCTCTGTTCCCTGAGTTCCTGAAGTCCCCCCAAGAAAAGGAGAGCTGACCAGATCCTCATCTGGGGACCATGTGAGCTTTAGGGGCCCTGGTGTCTCTTATACCTGTTTGCACCAGTTTCTCAGTGTGACCTATGACCCAGAAAGCAGGAGGAGTTCGAAAGTAACGAAAAGGCTCTGAGGCACGAAGGAGACACTCTGGCTTCCTGCCCCAGCCCTACGCTTCCGGCACCTGGACAACCCGCTGCTGCCCCGACGCCCAGCTCCATGCGGCCGGTACCCTGTCTGCATCACCAGCCGCGTCACCTGGAGGCTAACGCACCTGAAGGATGCTTCCTTAAATTCGCTCAGCTGGAGAGCGGGGCACTCACAGCAGGAGCAAAGGGAGCGCTCCGGTCCCCACCCTGATCCCGCTGGGAGGCCCGCAGGAGGCAGGTGAGGTGCAGAGTGTCACCATCACAAAAGACACCTGCCTGCCCCCCTCCTCGCCCAGGGGCCACGCACCTGAACAAAAGCTCCAGAGCAGTCATCTCATAGGCGGGGTCCGGGTCCCTGGGGAGGGACTGCAGATGACTGCGGCGGTCCCACTTGTGAAGGAAGTTCTGGGACGCAGGAGGGGTGCAGGGAGGCCAGTGAGTGTGGGCCCTGCAGGAAAACAGCCCCACCCCAACCCCTCCAGTGTCCACCCCAGATACCCGGGTCCGGAGCCAGTAAGGCTACCAGATCCTGCAGGAGCCACCTGCCCAAGCCACCTTCAGACCCCCAGCAGCCTCAGCCGGGGGCCTGACAACGAACACCCACAGGTCAAACATCAGGGTGCGCCAGAGCCTCCCAGCAGCCAGGTGAGCTGCAGTGAGCTCCGCGGAAAGGACAGAGCCACCCGGCCCGGCCCGGCCTCTCCCATCCGCGTTCCGGGCGAGCCGGCAGCAGCATCAGCCCAGTCAGCAGGTTAGAAAGTCCCGTGGAACGGACCAGGCAGGAGCCTCCGATACCTCCAGAATCAGAGCCAGAAACAGGTTGACCCAGACGACAGACGACACCAGCCACCACAACACAAAATAGAGCTTCGACCACCTGGGGAGGACAAGGAGGCAGCTGCCTGAGCAGAGGGGGATCTTTCAAGCACACGACAGCCCCACCCAGGACAGCTCTGCTGAATCCTGACCAGCAATTCGTGATGGCATTATTCCCACTTCAGAGATGACCAATGCAGGAATGGCCAACGAAGCGCCCAAGGTAGCAGGGCCAGCAGAAGGTGGAGGCAGGGCTAGAACCCAGGACCGCCCCCTGGGCTGGCCTGAGCTCCCCCAGCCCTACGCTGACCTCCTGCACTCAGCCCCACTCCCCAGGCCCCCACCCCCAGGAGTTCCCTGGAGCCGCTGGCTCCTCCCATGACCCCCCCCCGAGATGCCCAGGAGGTGTGACCTCAAGTCGAGGGCAGGGGTGCAGGATGTGTGCCTCGCACCATGACAGGCGGGGAGCCCGGGACGGGCACTCACGGGCCTGCGTAGCGCCGGTAGGCATCCAGGAACACCTGCCAGTTGTTCACCACCATCACGTTCCACAGCGTGACCAGGGCGGCCTGCGGGCATGGCCACGGTGTCCAGAAGCGGGTGGGAGGCAGCAGGGGTGGGGGTCCCGGGGAGCAGGGGGTGAGGGGCTCACCGCAAAGTCATCGAAGTTGTTGGCCCAGTACTCCAGCTGCTCGTAGCTCCCACAGGGCGCTGAGCCGTTGTCAGGGGCTAGGCTGGGGGTCGGACAGCTGGGTCAGGGGCGGAACTGGACACACACGCCAGGCTGCCCAGCCCTGCCTGCTCCCCGCAGAGCACGGAGCCCTCTGGCCCCGAGGAAGGCAGGAAGAAGACATGCCCTGATCTCCTTCTGTGGGGGCCACCAGGAGGCAAGAGCTGTGGATGCACCCGAGAAACAGCGGGGGAGCCTTCTGGAAGCCCCCCTCGGCCAGCACAGGGCTGGCCTCCAGGAAGAAACCAGAGCACGGCCCTCTGGCCCCGAGGAAGGCAGGAAGAAGACATGCCCTGATCTCCTTCTGTGGGGGCCACCAGGAGGCAAGAGCTGTGGATGCACCCGAGAAACAGCGGGGGAGCCTTCTGGAAGCCCCCCTCGGCCAGAGC